ACAAACACATGCACACATATGTAAACATACGTGCACACATACACACACATACACAGCACACAAGTCATTTTAGCTATTCCTTAGCAATTAAATAAAGTCTACAGCTAGCTGACTGCAAATTAAGCGTCCTTCTGAGGAATACCCAGAAGTGGGATGTCTCAGTCATATGGTAGGGCTAGTTTGGCTTTCCGATGAGCTTCTGTATTTATTTCCAGGATGGCAGGGCTAGTTCATATATTCCCACCATCAGCGTGAAAGCACCCCTTTCTGCCCACTTCGCCACCAGCGTCTGCTCTCATCATTTTCTGGCTGACTGCTGCTCTGACTCTGTGAAATGGTATCTTCATGTAACTTAAATTTGTATTTCTCTGATGGCTACTGAGGCTGAACATGTTTACGTTTGCTAGCCGTTCATGCATCGTTTTCTGAGAAGAGTCTTCATTGCATTAGCCTATTTATGGATTGGCTTGGCTGGTTTCTTGCTAAAATCACAAAGTCAGAAAAAAAAAAAAGACCTTTTTTTCTCATGCATTTTTTTAGAAAAATAATGGTATAATGGTTACTAGAACTCCAAAAACATAAACATATGAATAAATGATGGTAGATCATGAAGGACACTGTTACAAATGTATACTGTTATAACCAAACATATACTAACATGCATATTAGAAATTAGTTCCCCGTAAATGAACAACCGAAGAGAACGGCATTCCAGACGCCTCCCTGGGCGCAGACGCCAAACCAACCTTGCTTGGCTGCTTGGGCTTTGGTTTAATGCTGATAAAGACATCTAGCCGCTCCATCAGCTGTGCGATGAACTGGGGGTCCACTTCGATCTCTTCCTTCATATCAAACATCAGCACAAGAGGAAGACACCCCTGGAAAAGACAGCAGGAATCTCAGGAGCCGGTCATCGTCGCACCTGGCACCCGAGCTTACCTAGAAAGCATCCACTGTTGGGTATGAAAATTAAATAAGATTCACGTCTTCCCAACAAGGATGGATGGCGTGGGACTAAAGTGAGGGGCAGGAGGCAGCTACCTGGGAGACTGAAACTGTGTATGTTAAGCTCAAGGGTTTGTCATGAATTTATTATTTTTTTTTAGTCTGATGTCTACTTTGGAAAAATCCTTCACCGTCTGATTTCAGTTACATTAGCACTGATACGAAGGCACTCATCACCAACTCTGAGGTTTGGATTATGTGCCCTTCCTTGCTCAGTGACTTATGGGGAGCCATTATATTGCATCCCAAATGAGAACTCAACTGCTGTTTAACAACCTCCACTTTGGCCACCACAGACCTGCATGGCTCAGCTCTGTCTACCTCCAGGCTAGTACCAACTCTCAGTGTCCTTCAGATGGAGTCTATGCATCACTTGAGGTTTCTCAACCGCTCCTTCTAAGAAGCTTAAGCTGTAGCTAGCCCCTTCCCGCATGAGCAGTGAACCACTGTCCCAGCCTTCGATACTTTCTTGGCTGCAGGAGCCAACTTTGGCTGTCTCTGCCCATTTCTTTCCAGCCCTCCATGTCTGCAGCCACAGAACTTCTCTTCCTCCTGCACAGAATGCTGCTCAGCTCAAGTCCTTGGTTGCTGGATTTTGTTCACACGTATCAGACAATGCTGAACACACTGGGATCAAAATGGAGTAGGTTATGCCCCTTCACTGACAAATAAGAGTGACTTTTGTACAGATAGGAAAGAGGTTGTTAAAATCTATGAATTTTTTCCCTTCTTTCATTATTGGATAATAGTAGCTTCCAAAATACATTTATACTTTTGGCAGGTGTGGTCAAAGTAGGAATATGAATCTGTGAACTTTTTCAAGCATCCTGAGCTTAAAAACAACATCTAAAGCCCTTAGAAAAGAAGACACAATGTAGGGTAGCTATGGCGGTTCCTGTCTGTAAATATGTCCCACGGCTTGCGCATTAATGATGAGACAACCAAACATGGCTATGAAAATCAACCTTCACAGAAAGAGAATTTAGTAAACCTCTTATTGATATGATGGAGTATAAGCAGTTTCATCTGTCAGGGGGATGGAATCGACAATACGAATCTGGGTTTTCGGCTTTTTAAAGAGATGAATTCTGCAAGTTAATAGGTCACGCCTGATGTTTGCGGAAGCAAATGTCACCAAGGGCCGTGTGTCGAATGTGAGCGCAATCTGCTTCTGAAAGTCTCTGCCAGCCCAGCAACATGGCCGTCTGCGGTTACTACACACCGACCCACACACGCTAGGGTTTCAAATAAACACGGGGAGGAGAGAAATGCCATAAACGGGAGTGCTTCGGAATGATGTTACCAATGCTTTTTCTTTCGTAGCATTCAAGAAATAGTATTTTTATTTATATAGAACTTTTATTAAATATACAAATGTTTCAGATCACCAAAGGTCAAGTTTTTATGTAAGTGTGGGTATATGTGATGGCCAGAGGTCAAGGAAGGTGTTTTCCTTTATTGACTGCTCTCTTTATTATTATAATTATTATAATTATTATTATTATTATTATGACAGTATCTCTTTAATGAACCTGGACCACAGATTAGGCTATACTGTCTGACTAGCAATTACTTATCATTATTATTATTATTATATTATTATTATTGAAACTATGTCTAATGAACCTGGGTCTCACAGATTAGGCTATAATATGTCTGACCAGCAATAATTATTGTTATTGTTATTGTTATTATTATTATTATTATTATTATTTAGACTGTGCCTCTTTAATGAACCTGGATCTCACAGATTAGGCTGTACTATCTGACCAACAATAAGAACAACAACAACAATTATTATTATTATTATATTAATAATATATTATTATTATTACCAGTATTATTATTATTGAGACTATGCCTCTTTAATGAACCTGGATGTCACAGATTAGGCTACATCTAACTTCTACTTTGGAAAAATCCTTCAGTGTCTGACTTCAGTTTATCATCAACGATACAAAAACATTCTTCACCACACTGAGGTTCAGATCATGCACCCTTCCTTGTCCAGTGACTTCTGGGGAGCCATGTCACTGCATCCTGACGGGCAACCCGCAGGAATCTACTTGTGTCTGCCTCTCTGAGAGACCTGGGGATTACAGACACGCCACTGCCAACTGAGCCATTCCCTCGGCCTTTGAAGATGACCTTTAAACAGTATTTTTAGTTTTCTGTTTAAGGTTCAAACTGCACACCAGTACCCCATGTCAGATGCAAACAGTCGCCTTCCACTCAAATCTCGTCTGTGTTTAGTCTAAGCTAAGAAAAATATAAGAAAATTGCTTCCCTATGCAATGGAGTGGAGCCTGTGGAGGCACAAGGGCCCTTAGTCTCCAGTCTACTCCCTTTTACCAGGAACGTTTCCTGTTTGGCTGGACCTCAAAACTACTTTCTTAAATAGCAGGTTTGCAGAGTCAGGGTGGAAACCCCGCGGTAGGCCAAGAAGTTCAAGGAGAGCATCACAAAGCTAACTGGAGCAGCCTTACCATGAGATATTGCCTTGCCAGGCAGACAGACTCGATGGTGCCCTGGAGGTAGACGGTGGATTTCTTCTGTGGGTTGCCGGGGTCAGGAAAGTGGATCTGAGCCCCCGTCCTTTGCATGATATGTTTGACGTTGCTCCCGTTCCGGCCCATCATGAAGAGGTGATGCTGGGCGGCGATGTCCAGTTGTGTGCTCACGGGGATGGCAGATGCCAAGCTCCCCGCAAGGTGTTCCAATAGCATGGCTGTTCCTTCCTGGCAGAGAAGGGCAGACTGTGGGAGGAGCGTAGCAATCCCATCAAATACAACCGCCCGGCCCACATAGGCAAAGTTCCTATGGCACCTCCAACAACTATAAGGACGCCAGTAGTGTGTTCTATGGGGCCCACAAGGAGCATAAAGAAAAATTCTGGAAACCAATGAGTCTACTAATCACAAGCATAAAACTTGTACTGGGTGCAGTAGCATATGTCTATCTATAATCCCAGCAGCCTGGGAGACTGAGGCAAAGAAAGAACACTTGCATGATGTGTTTTTTGCACGACTTTAAGTTACCCACCTTCACAGCATCTGTGTTATTCTGAGACCCCCGCACTATGACAGTAGCACCATACATTCGAGACCTCTGCTTAAATGACACGGAAATGCCGTACGTCTGTGAGATGCGCTGGATGGAGGGGGCATTAGGATCCGGGACCGGTTGGAGAATTCCAGCAATTGGTAACTCAAACATCAGCACCAAAGGAAGCAGCTCCTAAGAGAACCAAAGCGGCAGTGAAGCATGGAGTCTGAGAGGAGTGGGGTGTGGGGGTGTGCGGGCACCAAGTCCCTTTGCTCTTTTCTAAAGATGGGTTCTGAGACAGGAACTGTCTTCATGCCGGGGCTGAGATCCAGTGCAGGGCGCAGTGTTTCCTAACGGAAGGAGCCTTTGGCCTGTCCCACTCCCCATCTGATCACTGGGTCAGGCAGCAGCTGGACCACTCCCAGAAAGTCTCCGATCAATCGAGAAGCATTTATAAATAAACTTGGGATGTTGTGGTCTAAATACTGACTCAGAATGCCTCCCACCAATTCAGAGTGCTCATGAAGGCACCCTGACCCAGTGTCTCCTGCTTCCTGAAAATGGAACTTGGTTACCAAATGGCAAATGACACTATTTCAGCCCCCCTTGCCTTGTAAATGTGATGGGCATGCAAGAACAATCTCAGAGATTAGTAAAGTTACCCGAATCCTCGCCCGGGCAGATTCTACTCCTGCTGGCTGTCCTGCTATAGACACCTGCAAAATAAGGGAGCAAGGCTTACACTACCATTCAAGCATCGGCCTTCCTAGGCAGCCACACCCTTCCTGCTCAACACAAGACCACAGGGGCTCATGACAGATAAACCTCGGCAGAATCTAGCTGCATCAAGGCGCATTTGATTTTAATGAGACCCTTGGGACCCTCCTCCAGCGATACCTGGCCACTGATCTACGTCACCGCTTGGACTTAGACACAGCCAGCAGCAGCTCCAAGGAAACCATTCTAACACTGTTAACATTATTTTTATCCATAGCACTTTCCTTCCTTTGTTTAAAGTCTCTTTGTGTCAATTAGGTGCCAATAGCAACGATATGGATGTGTTAGGCTCTTAGCCACCGGCCTTCTTCACCCGCACCAGCTGGCAGATAATCAAGGTTTTAGTGTCCACCTCTCCTGCTCTCTCCATAGATACCTGGGCCTCACACCGTGTCACAGCCACCGTCAGGTATTTAGAATAATGCCTGTGCCTTTAATCAAGGCTTTCTACCTGGCCTCAGAGACGTGTCAGCACAGCGTCACTCCCTGGTTCACCCTTAGAGCCGACAGACTCCCATTATGAGATTAACCGACAAGAGAGAACATATCTAAACAACACAGCAGTAGCATTCAGGCTTCAAGGACCGGAAGTGCTTGCCTGTGAACCCCTGACTTCTAAAGGGAAGCTGCCCCCAGGAGTATGGTTAAACCATCAGCTGCTATCCCGCCAGTATGAGAACATTAGGGCACCTAGGCACTGGTTCTCAGAGGGAGGTGACCTGGAGGACCACTTCCTCCACTGTGCCGACAAGGCTCCTGGCGCAAGACAAGCCTGACAGATTCTCTCAGGTCTTTGTGAAGGTCTTTCTTGTGAGACTTACCCCACCCCTGATTTCTTCATGAAGGTCTTTATTGTGAGACTTACCCCACCCCTGATTTCTACTATGTAGAGGGTAAGAAGAGAACCATAGATCTATAGCAGCAAAGTACCTCAGTCTCCAAGGTGGGCGGGAGCGCGCCACCCACAATGCCTGCCATCTGTAGGTGACTCTGGCTGCTCTTTGCCCTCATCTCTCAGAAGGGATCTGCCCACTGAAACTCAAGGGTGTGGGGAGACGAGTCACCTGGTTGCTCTTCTCCGCCTGGTTGTTCCTGTTGGAGTCGGGAAAGTGGATGTGGCAGCCCGTCTCCTCCATCACCTTTTTAATGTTGTTGCCGCCTTTGCCGATGACGTGCGAGTGCTCTGTGTGCGAGACATCCATCTTCAACGTGACGCGGTTGCTCTGCGCAGAAGCAGGGTTGGTTCCTGATGCGTTAACGACGCCAAACACTCTGCCCTTATGGCACGTAAGCATGAACAGAGACGGACTCTGGGGGAAGCTACATATTTCTCAACAGGATAGTCTCGACCTAACAAATCTCTACCAGCTTCCTCATTAAGAAGAAATCTCGTTTCATGACAAACACATCAGAAGAAGGTGACAAGTTCTTTTTAACCACAATACGTTTTCAGAAAATTAAATACAGTCAGCTACAAAAACGAATTATTCAGGTTTTTTTTCTTTACAAACAGTCCAAATAATGAAAGGCAGGTGAAAATGTGATCACATGACTAAAGATGTAATGTTGGATGGTGGAACTATGGTGTTGGGAAATCATAACTAGAAATAAAGCCCCCACTGAGGTCACACAAGCATTGACAGCACATACTATCTGTCCCCCTATGCAGAACGTGCTACGCTGTGGCCCAAGCTTGCGTGACCACCCCTTATTCCAGCAGAACGAAAAAGTAGAGAAGAACTCCAAGGTATGAACTCCGGCAGCAAAGGCCTGAGTCAGTGAACCCCACACAGAGGCTCAGTCACACCAGAAAGTGTAAAACCCCAAGGCATGGGGAACAGAAAGGCAGTGGTGTCAAACTGGCATCCACGGAATTTTACGTAATGCTATCGGGACCGATGTAAAATCTCTTTGAGTCATCAAGACCGTTAATGGCATTCCTGAACAGGAAGACTGAAGGTGTTAAAATAGCAGTCATTTTTTAAAAAACCTCCTCCTAAAATCATAAATTTTTTTGACTTGTGCCCCAAATATTTATATTTTTAAGCTTAACTTCTTGCACCTTCGCCCTTGAAGGACAAGAAAATGTCCCCCTTTCTAGGGGAGAAACAAACACTAAAATATTTAATAATTGCTGGGTAAATGATTCTTAAAATTAAAAAAAAAGATAGAGAACAAAAACAAACCCAGAAACAAAACACAGGATGGCAAGATCAGAAATAGTTCTGCAAAATACAAAGTACTAAGTGGTGAAAAAAAAAAACACATAACCACAGCCAGGATTTGAACCATCTCTCCAGTTACCAGCTTTGGGATGCTGGCCAAATTATTTGACATCTCTGTAGTGAGTTCCTTTCAGGATAAAACAAATGACTGTTTGTAAGATCTACAGCGCCTGGCATACGGCAAGGGCTTCAGATGTGCTGAGAGAAACAGCATCACAAATGAATGTATGTTTCCAGGTGTTCAGCTTTGGTCATGGCTGTTTTTATATGAACTTGTTGTGAATCAAACATCTAGGCTGGGCATGAGCACACACATGCACACACACGGGGGCTCCTATGACTTCAGAAGAGCCCATGTGATCATTTCTGGCATCTTTGTTACTTACCCTGTACTAACGGGGACCAATGTATCTTTCTGAAGATGGTATGTATAGGCAAGCGTGTATCTGTATATGTCGTCATGTATAATCTATACACATATATTTGTTAATTACTTGACATGATGGAAACCCTTTAAACTAAGCACCTTCTCTGCCTTCCTTCCCCCCAGCAGGATCATGTGTGCCTGTTCAAACCATCCATATTTATTTTTGCTGGTTTTCCCTTTGCCACATGGTTCCTGGGTACCAGCATGGAGGATCCTTGCAGCTGAGTGCCCCCTGTTCACTTACTTTTGTGTCTAAGACAGACATGATCATTTCTTTGGCAGCTTTTACATCATCTTTCTTCCCAGACACCTTGATGTGGGGATCTGGAATGAAAAGGAAGGAAGGCTTGCATGAGACTTTCACACCTCCCTAAACTCCCCGCTTTAAGACCATGGACGCAATTGAAAACAAGGCACCATAAACCCAGTGTTCACTGCATTGTATATGTGTGATCATCACTGCCATCAAAATCACAGGAAAAGACCCAAATTGTGCATATGTGAATGTGTTTTCTTCTTCTTCTGAAAACTGGATAAGCAATTTAACTTTTTAAAAACAAAACAAAACAAAACAAAAAAAACCAAGCAAACCATGCCATTGTGAAATAAGATAATCTATGAATTTGACTTGCGAATTAAGTTCTTGCTATAGTCCTGGTCCCGTTCTAAAGATAATACAGTAATTTATTTAATACAAGCTATAGCTTTGTGACTGCTTTTCTGTCTGTTTGGTTGGTTGGTTGGTTTTTTTTAAACAGTAAAAAGAGCATCTGTACCTTGCCCTAGAAAACCATGGTGGTTCTTTATAGGCCTCAGACCTGGTCCTATAATACAATGTCTTCCAACACTAGATCCACAATTTAAACTGTGATGATTTATCATAGAAAATATCCTTACAAGACAATGTTTACAGAACCACACAGTCCACTCAGGAATATTTCATAGTTATACGGAGCTCCTTCTGAGTAGCTAATACACACCGTGCTTTGTTTATTTCACCGAGTATTAAATGGGGAAGTGTTCGGTCATTCAGAAGCTTCTTTCTAATTACCTTCACGGGACCAGGTAGTGAGCTGAGGACCGGGGATTGTACCAGTAAAGACGGCTCCCCAACACATACAGCGCTTGAGTGAGATGCAAGGAGGCAAAACCACCTTAAATAAACCATTTTATACGTTATAACTGGTTGGTTATCGTGAGGAAGAAAACGGAACGTCAGATGAAAGAATCGGAGCCTAAGGGGAACTGGAGAGGTGAGACACAGCTACCATCTTCCAGCAGATGGGGCAGGGTGCTGTGGGGTGGGGGTGGGGGGGTTGCTCAGCACAAGTCTATTGGCCAGAGTGTGTTTCCCCTTCTCCTTCATGGGGATCCCAGAATTTAGCAGTCTTGGTGTTCTGACACCTTACTGGCCAGTCTGGTGCAGATCAAGACCACTCTGGGGTGACTGGAGAGGAAGTACCACGCCCGTCTGTGTCAGTGATAAAGTCAAGAAATGGGCACTTTGGTCAGGACCCGCAAACTGTCATTATCAATGAGACTCCTGAGGCCTTTCTGTCCAGTACAGGACAGACATCAGTAAACATCCAGGTAGCTTCAACAATCACCACGCCTGCTGCCCAAGTCCCTTTGTTCTTCCAAAGCAGGGATTCTCCAGGTTAAGGACCCAGACCACTGGGTAGGGACTATCCCCGGACTATACACATCTCCCCCATATCGGGATCCCTCCATTGCCAGCCCACCCTGCGGGTCAAATTCAGTTCCACTGAACACATCCCACTCTTTGAGGTGCAACTGGTCAATACAAGGGAGAGGCCAGGGACGAACGGGAAGGAGAAACCCACGTTCTCAAGTCTACCCAACCTGGATATGAGATCGCCGCCAACAACATCCTGCAGCTCTGGGATGCGAAGTCTGGGGGTTCGTTGGCCCCTGGGGCGACACTTGCAGCTGAACCTCATGGAACCAGCCCCTTCACTGTTGCTCTGCTCCTAAGTCTCTCCTTATCCTGTCCTTTAATCCTACCGTGGACACTTGCAATGGCTTTACGATTACTCAAAACTTTCAAAAATGTCTTCCATATGTTCTAAGTCTAAGGGGCCTAAAAGCAGGCACACAGGAGCCAGGAGAGGACCCTATCTCATCCCCCGCTATTCTCACTGCCCATCCCCCAAAGCCTCCTGCACAGGCCCAGCTTGCTTTTTTCTCTGTATCCACTATAGCTAACTTCACACACTTCCCTTAGGATGCCTAGAAGAGGCCACTTCTGGAATGCTATCCACATTCAGATTCCAGTCTCAAGGGTCCTCTGCTTTGCTTACTGGTTCTGCTGCAATACTTGAGAACCCAACAACCACCAGACCTGGAGAACCTGGTGCTCCTCAGAACACGGTCGTGCCATGCTCATTCACAGTCTATGCGCTGGCGTATCCAGAGAATTCTTAAATCCACAATGAAAACCAGATAAAACCACAAGAATATTCATTGTAATCGCTATGTGCTGGTCCAACACATGTGACAAAATGATTTTGCAGAATAGAATTTAATTTTACACACACACACACACACACACACACACACACACACACACACACACGGGGGTATATTAACTTGTAAACCCATTACTTCACAGGCTGAATAACCACATTATAATTCTCATACACCTGCACCAGATGAGGACCAGGGACTCTCAGTTTAAGGATACTTTGGCTGTCTATCCTCTTTTCAACAACAGATCTGTAAGCAAAAGGAAAAAAAACCCTCAACAGCAAATTTTTTAAGTGAATGAGCACCATCTAGTGGTCAGAAAGTGAATTATTATTCAGCTTAGCCATATCTGTGCAGTCTCCCATCATCTCCAAAGTCCAGTTACTGAGCCCCTGCTCTTGCTGGAAAGCGGTCCTTTGATTACCCAACACCATGCACGTTACAAAACCAAGCAAGTCGTGCACACCTACAGGGCTGTTGAACAGACCAACAGCACTCTGCTGTAGAAAATGTCCACACAGGGGCCACAGACTTGGACACTTGATTTCTGAGGAGACCATTTGCCCTAGGTCTCCCCAAAATAATGCTGGCTTCGACTATTCTGATCAGGCCTGATCTGAATATCCAAGGGCATTGGTTTTCCAAATACAACCCCCCCCCCACCTCCGCCATCTGTTCCTGTCTTGCAGGGGTGTCACTTCCCATGGAAGAGAGGAGATGAGACAGCAACCATGCCTCACTAGAGGAGGCTGTGCTGTGTGAACGCCACAGCAGAGCAAAGAAAACGGGCCCTGGTCTGCAGAGCTCAACGCTTTCCACAGGGATGTACTCGTGGCTTCCATGTGTAAGTTCATGGATTTGCTAAGTCAATGATGATTCTTGGGAGAACACCGCGAATGTGTTTCCAGCAAGCACTGTGGAGAGCTGAGACACTCCACGAGCGTACATGAAGCTCTGCAGTGGTTTTAAGAAGACAGTCTTGGGTGCTGCGTCACCCCACCCCCACTGCGCCCCAAACTTCAGTCTTTTCTTCACTGTCCCGTTAGTGACAGACAGGCAACCGCTTGTCTGACTGAGCCCATCCCTTTCATGCACAACACCCCAAATAAAGGTCATCCTTTTAGATCCCACATCCTGGTCTGAAAGTAGGAGGTGCTGGTACATTCTACCAAGGCATCCATCCAGCCTTAAACTCATGAAGACAAGATCAGGGTGAGGAATTTGCTTTCTCCTGGCTCTGGTGATTTTTTTACTTTTGTCTCAGGTATAACTTCTCAAATCTGTCTAAACTCTGTCACTGTCTAGTCAACGTGGGAGCACGGAGGTGCCAGAGAAGGCGCTGGGCTGTTAGAAGTGGTCAGCATGAAATACATTACCATCCACAGCAGTTAATGTGGTTACTTGCAGCATAATGGCTTTTTAAAAGTGGAGTATTACGGTGGTTAGAATTAGAAATGTCCCCCACAGGCTCACAGAATTCAACCCTTGATCCCCAGTAGGTGGCACTGTTTTGGAAGGCTATAGAACCCTTAATTAGAGTTCCAGCCTTGCAGGAGGAAGTGTGGCACCAGGGATGGGCTTTGAGGATTCAGAGCCTCACCCTACTTCCAGTTCACTCTCTTTCGCCCTGTGTTTATGGTTGATTGCTCAGTTTCCTGCTCTAGTCATAGCTTCCTTGCCATTGTAGACTCTCCCCTAACTAAAACCATTGGCCCAAAACAACTCTTCCCTTCCTAAGTGGCTTTTGTTCACTGTGTTGTATCACAGCAGCAGTTAAGTAACCGAGCCGGTGTTGTTTACCTGAAGCACTTGGGACTGCAAGTGTCTGCATCTCTTTTTCATCTGCACCCCCACGTGATGAGATGGCTGAGGCATGGGAGCAAATTTAAGCACAAATTTCATGGGTTTCATGTGCTCCCTAGATGCAGAGTAAGAAGCAGATTGTCTGTGCACGCCTGTCTTGGAGTGCAGCCATCACAACAGGGCAGCTATAGCGCTTTGTGCCCCCTGTATGAAGACGGCACTCAAGGAGACCTGGCTTTCAGAGCATTTCAGGTTTAAGGTCCCAGATTAGGTGGATAAGAGCCTGGGTGCATTCTGGGTTGTGTGATCCTAGCCAAATTTCCAAATATGGGGAATCTGTATAAACAAGGTTGTGGCTTTGGGGGGAGGAGGGCGAGACAGGGTTTCTCGTAGCTTTGGAGCCTGCTCTGGAACTTGCTCTGTAGACCAGGCCGGCCTCAAACTCACGGAGATCTGTCTGCCTCTGCCTCCTGAGTTCTGGGATCAAAGATATGTACCTCTACTGCCAGCAAGTCTGTGGTCTTTGTCCAAAAATTAATACATAATGATGGCTCAAAAAAAAAAGAAAGAAAAAGAAAGAAAAGAAAAAAAAGCCTTAGGTCTCAAAAGGGTGCTGACTGACCTCAGAGAGAAGGCGCAGAAGAGCCTGAATGCCACACACTATGACTACCCCACTTCTAAAGTCTTGACTCTGCAGTCAGTTCAGACTCTTCTCATATGGCGAGGACAATATGTGGACTCCCTAGTCAATCCCAAGAAGCCACGAACAAGCTCTGTGATAATGGAAAAGTCGCTGAGACTCTCGAAAGGACTGTTGCGGGGAGAGAAGAGGTGAAGGAAAAAAGGGAGGGGAAGGAGGGGGTGAGGTGGCAAAAAGGTAGAGAGGAGGGGAGAGGGAGAAAGGAAAAGAAGAGGGAGAGGGGGAGGCAGGAAAGGAAGGAGGGAGGGAGAGAGGGGGGATGAACGCAGAAAATGTGGTACTATGCTTTGAATTTGAAAGGTGCCCCGCCCCCCCGCCCCTCTCCCCGGTTTGT